CACATACACACACCAAAAACAAAACCGACCTGTTGCAACGATTTTTGTTTCAAAAAAGCAAAGAACTTTAAAAAAAAACAACCACGGGAGGCAGAAGAAAAGCCAAAATCAGCTAGATATAACAAAAATGATTGATCCCTAGCTAAAACAGCGACGAAAAAAAAATTATGAAATAAAAATATATATATATTTCTTTCCTGTTAATAATCCGAAACTTGCTCTCCTCAAAATTTCTTAAGGCGTCTCTCGCTCTTCTCCGTATTTTTTTTACTAACCTTATCATCTCTCCAGGTCAGTTCAACACGGACGAGTACGAAAGTTTCGCCTTTTTCGGCCCTTCCTCCCCCTCCGCGAAGGAATCCGACCCCCGTTCTCTGCCTGTCCAGTTCACACAGCCATACTTCGACTGCGGGGGCTCCAACAAGTGGGTGGTCAGCGCAGTGTCCCCGGTCATAGACTTTATGCCCAGATATTCCAACTACACTCATCTGAGGAGACAGAGGTGAGCTCGTGGTTATGAGAGAGAGGGGGGGGGAGAGCAGGAATCATCTGAGAAACTATAATGCTTGTTTACATAGTTGCGGAGTGTAGAAGTTTCATCTTTGGATTTCAAAGACTATCTCTCTCTCTCTCTCTCTCTCTCTCTCTCTCTCTCTCTCTCTCTCTCTCTTTCCCTCTCTGTCTGTCTCTATCTCTTTCTGTCTTTCTTCATCCTCTCTCTCTCTATCCTCTCTCTCTCTCTCCCTCTCTCTCTCCCTCTCTCTCTGCCTCTCTCTCCCTCTCTCTCTCTCTCTCTCCCTCTCCTATTATAAACGGAGGAGAAGCAGTCGGAACAATTTCCTGGTTGGACGGGAACGTCCAGTTTAGAGCGCAACAACGTTTTTCTTTTTTACTTATGATCTCATGCGGACATTGATTGGGGATGTGAAGAATATAAACGGAAACAAAGAAATGTCTCTGCTATTTTTTCGAATGGGGAAATGTGGCTGGTCTAGTGCAGGCACAGAATAAACAAGAGGTTTCTTCCAAACCGGACAGCACACAATGTTTTACCAGTGCAAAAACCAAAGTTGCACAACATGTCAAGGCTGGTCGCCCCGTCGCAGTGTTCTTTACCCATCTTCCTTTCGGACAGGGGCGGTTCGCCCATAGAGCACGGTTGTGCACTGCCTCAAAAACTTTCTATGCGCACAGCATGGGTGTTGTGAGACAATGAAAGAACCTTGAACATCCACTATCCAATCAATTTTCCACACAAGTTCCTCGCCAGAGCCTAATCGGTCATTACTGTATATGAATGGGGCACTCTACAACATCTTCTACACTATATCAAGTTCTCGTGCTTGACCCAAGTAATAAAAAGTATGTTCAGTGGTGGTAATCGAACTTTTTTTTAATGCTCTATGGGCTGACCCAAACAACGATGACGTTTAGAGCGAGTTTCGTAGTACACAAGCCTTCACAATGCAATGCCCGCATTATGATAGCTTCGGAGCAATCCACCGGAGTGCTCACAATGATGTGCGATTGGTCCATTGGCTTGCATTTTATATCTCTAGCCCCACCTCTGTAACCCTAAACTTGAGCGAGGTCAATATGACGTATTTAGGTCACTGTGTTAGAAGAGCCTTACTTGGAATGGTGTAGTGGTGAAAGTTTTATTACTTTTAATTCCAAAGCAGGGTTAATGGAGTTGATTTTTTGCTTGCAAATAAATTTACTTCTCGAAACCAAAGTGACATGGGGAGAGTGAAAGAATTGGGTCCTCACCGACTCAAAGGTACTAAAATAATATAACCAACAAAAAAGTGCAATAGTGTTTTCAATACTAATCTTCTCGACAAACACACATTGTACTTTTTCTACTCTCTGCTTTTTGGAACTTAGAACGCCAAGTGGTCTAAAACAGGTTTTACTGATCTTGCCCATGTGGCTGATGGGGCTCCTAGAAATCGTGTTTTGGGGTCAAATTTTGCAAATTGTAGTACCTGGACATTTCCTAAACAACATCCAGAAACACCATAAAGCTGTGGTGGGGTTTTTTGGTCAGGTTTTTCTGCGAAAGCACCTGTTTTCTTGCCTTTTCTTACCTTTATCGGCTGTTTTCTCACAATTCTATGCAGGACATTTGTCACAGTTCGTGGTCATTCTGAGGTACATTAAAGGGGGGGGGGGGCTCTACCCGAAGGCTATCTCGCTTATTACTTGACAGAATATTACCAAATTTCACACATATAAGAAGCATAGTAAGGAGTCTTAAAATCTGCAATCAAATTGGAGAAAAACGTTTCGTTTCCATGGATACGGCGGCCATATTGGATTTTGTTGACATGGCTTACGTAATAATTACCGCACTTATCGCTCATGGAAATTGATTGCTTTTTTGCATGCATGTTCATAAACATTAGATCTAAAAATCTGTGTGTTGTTTTTTTCCTAAACGAATTAGAAAATTTGTAATGAATTTTTTCCTGAGGTAGCATTGAAGTTTGCAAAAAATTCTAGAAAATCCAAACTCCAGACACTTCCAACAAAAATCTACTCCATATATCAAAAATTCAACATACAATTTTTTAGTATTACATCTTCTCTTCATTCTGTGAAAATTTCATGAACATTGGGCGAAAAATGGTGGAGTTATTCAAAAAAGTATATTATTTATAGAAAAGTTGCGTTTGGAGAAAACGGCCGATAAAGAAAAATAAAATACTGACTTTATGAGGAAATGGCGGTGACAAAAATGCCTGGTAAAGGAAAAAATACGGTTTGGGGTTTTTACGCCATGAAATAGTTGTAGGAGAGGCTGAGAAAGCTAAAAATGCCTACAACTCCAATTCCATGATTTTGA